GGGGGGGGGGGTGTGTGACCCTGGGAGCTGCACACCCCTGTCTTGGCCCCCCTCTCACCTTGTGCAGCCCCCGGCAGTCCAGCATGGCCGTGAGCTGGTGCAGGCTGGTCTCTGAGGAGTTGAGGAGCTGCTGGACCCCCAGCAGGTCTTTCTGCGGGAGAAGGGAGGGTCAGGGCAGCGCTGGGCAGGATGGGGAGCAGAGGGGGGGCACAGGGCCCCGGCTCCCCCCACCCCGTACCTCGGCTGTGGGGAAGAGGGGCAGCGCAAACTGTATCAGGCCTTGGATCTGGATCTGCATGGTGGTGAGCGAGCGCTGGAAGACGGTGAGAGCCTGCAAGGGGGGAGCGGTCACGGAGCTGCCCCGGGGCCACCCCCATGTCCCAGGCAGCACAAAGCAGGGTGCCGGCTCCCCCGTACCTGCTGGAAGGGATTGCTCAGGCTCTGGTCGCAGTACAGGTAATAGTGAACCACCTCTGGAAAGCAATCGGGAGACATCGGTGTGAGCACCCCAGGGGGCAGAGAGCAGCGTGGGGAGGGGGGCGCAGCACAGCAGCGGAGAGCACCGGACCCCCAGGTAGGTTTTGGGGGAGCACTGGGGTCCTGCCCTGAGCACATCTCCATCCTGCGGCCAGCTCTCACCTGCGCTGATGTCGCTCTCCGTCTGGTTCATGATGAACTTGTCCGGGGCCACACAGAAGTCGCTGGTGCCCTGCGGGGATGAGAGGGACATTGTCGGGGCTGGGAAGGACGGGACGGGTGCCCGCAGCCCTCGGCTCTGCCCCGGCACAGCAGGTACCACCCCTCCCCTCCTGGCCCCACTCACCACCGCCGCCGCCGTGTCCACGGCCATGGAGGCCCAGCTGAGGATGAGCGTCAGCAGCCCGCAGCACAGCATCCTGCGGGGAGAGGGGTGAGCACGCCGTGGGGTCTGGCTCTGTCCTCCCCCCCGGCGGCTCCGGCACCACCGAGCCCGGCCACGGGGTACTCACGTGGTGAGGAGGCAGCGGGAGCGCTTGGCCAGCCCCAGGCAGGCCAGGAGGCAGACGGTGAGGACGAGGATGAAGAAGAGGAGATAAGCCAACCACCTGGGTGCAGAGGAAGGCTCCGTCACGCGCGCCCACCTTCCCAGCCCCGCCGGGAGATGCTCCGGCAGCCCAGCGCCGTGGCCCCGCTCACCGGTAGTACTCGACGTAGGCGATGTTGCCGGCCAGCGCGGTGAGGTCAGTGCTGGTGCCCCTCCAGACAGGCAGCCCCGAGAGCTGCAGGACGATGCTGCCGGCCAACTGCTGCATGAACTTGAGGGTCTGCAGGTAGTCCCCCCGTGCGGCCAGGAGCTCGTTCAGCCGTGCCAGGTGCTGCTCCAGGCCCACCTGCATCTGCAGCGTGGTGCCCGCCACCTGGGGACGGCAGGATGGTCAGCCATGCCGGGATGGCGCCAGCGGCTTCCCCACCGTCAGCCCCGCACCCGGCAGAGCCATTCGCCCCGTCCGCGGGATACCGACCCTCCGGGAGAGCAGCCCCGCATCGACCCCCTGAGCTTGAGCCAGATCCGTCCCCTGGGATGGCCCCGCCGTGGCCCCCCCTTGCCCCTTCCTGGCCACAAAGGCCCCATTCTCTGGGGTGACGTCACCCTCCCATGCTCGGCGCGGCATGGCCGCCCCGGGGGCTCGGCTGGAGCAGGCAGGGCTTGGCCAGCAGCGCAGGACGCCTGGGTCCCTCCAGCTGGATGCCTCCCTCCAAATGCTTTAACCAAACCCAGGATGGAGGATCAATGCGACCCTGGGGGACATGGAGGGGGTCGGATGGGGGGGACCCTGCCCCGCGGCCCTACCAGCGAGTCGATGCCGGTCAGGGTGTGGTTGGCGTGGTCCAGGGCGTAGAGCAGCTGGTACACCCCGTCGTTGGTCTCGCTGTTCCCATAGAAGCCGATGCCGACGGCCGCACTGTGGGCAGAGAGGGGACCCCCAATTAGAGGGGAGGGAAACGCTCACCCCAACATGGGTGCCTTGCCTTGGGGGCAGGGAGGATGTGGGGACACCAGCTGGACAGGGGACACTCTCCAGAGATTCCCGTTTTCGGGGGACCCCCCACTCCCGGCAGGGCAGAGCCAAAGCAGATGGGACAGGGACAGCACCGTGATGGGGACCTGCTCCTTGCCGGTGCCCACGGGGCCTGGGGACACCCAAGCCCAGAGCTGCTCCATGCGCCGGACACGGTGGGTTTGAAGCTCCTCCTGCCAAACCCCGAGAGATTGAGGGCGGAGGAGCCAGGCAAAGCAGATTAGGGGAATCCACTGGAAGCGATGCCGCTCCCGATTAAACCTGCTCCTGGGCTCACTCCCAGGAGGGGAGGCGGGTGGCAGGCTGGGGGCCGTGCCGTGGCCGCTCCAGGCCCCGTGGCGAGCTCACCGCGGCCGCTTCAGTGCTCCCCGGCACCTGGTGCGCCAGCGGGCAAAACCAGGCTGGAGGTCAGAGCCGGCTCCGAGGAGGGATGTGCTCCTGCCCTGGCCAGGCACATGCCCGCACGTGGCCGGTGCACGCGGTGCTCCCTCCCTCCCTCCCCACGGCAGACAA